CACATGAATACGATCAGAATAAAGTAGAGGCCTATTATTAGGGCAGGTTCAATCTCTTTTAGGTTGAATTTGTACCTTCATCCCCGAACCCTTATTTGGTTCTAGACCTTATGGAGTTGACGATCTCTTGGATCGTTAAGGGGTGTAACCTTCACCTCGTGAACGGTTTACAAGTTCCTAAAAAAACTTGTTGGCGACTCTTTTGCTCTATCTTCTTTTCCTTTGGACGCCACCGTACTTTATTGTATGATCACAGTGGGGTTCAAGCTAGGGGTTTAACGCTTGAAAATATTCCCTACAGCTGCCAAACTCCTAAATCGTACCCCTTCAGGATTTTCCTAATCCCGGGGTGAAGGGGGAACCGGAGGCCGGCTTCGATGACCGCCGCGTAGCAGACAAAGTAATAGTCTGAATTATCAATATCATCGCTCCATGCCATTACTGCGTCAGCCGGCGGAACGATGATGTCCCAACCCCTTCCAAAGGGGTGCTTCTCTTTAAAAGCCCTGAAGCCGCTCTTTAATAGGGCAATGTTATCCGGCAGCATCCTAGTCTGTTTGGGGTTGGGGTTGTCGGCGACCTTAGGCGGCTGCTGCTGATAGGCAGCCGCAAAATTATCTTGGTCAGAGCCGGAAGATTCGGCCCTTGACCCTTTGCCGGCCTCAGCGGCTTCCTCGCCGCCTACCTCTCGTACCCTCGAGCTCCCGGAAGTAGAGGGAGCCTCTTCGTCAGACCTACTCTCCTCCAAATCCCTTTGTTCCCCGTCTGGGACAACCTCATCGGCTGGCACTGATATAGTGCGCCGGCTCCTAGACCTTATGGGCGTCTGTTTTGTTCTGGCCATTGTGTCCTGCACAGACACAGAGAGGGAGGCATTCGGAGATGAGCACATCGGTTCTGACAGTCCAGAAAAGGCACCCCCTGTTCTAGACTCAGCCGTCCCGGGGGACCGGTTGAGTGTCCTAGGCAGTGCCGAGTGTGTGGATTGAGAACTCATTTATATTTTCTAAAACTATGTATTCAGGCGGAGAAAGAATGTATACAAGTTGGAAAAAAGAAAAGCTAAAATGGTACAGGCGGTTACCTTACTTTAACTCTGAATAATCTGAAAACCGCTACAACCGGTGAACCGGGTGTTGAACTGATAGCACACGGAACCTCGAAAATACTCTGACGCAGACGGAGGCATATAATTTCTCTCTAAAAGCTCTCTTTCTCTCTCTAAAAAATTCAAATGAAAATAAGGGAGAGAAAAAGGGGGGGTAAACTTCTATTTATAGAAGGTGAAAACGGGGGGAAAATTCTTGTTTGAAATTTAAATTTTACTATCCGTTACTGTTCACCTCTGATAGGTGGACACGTTTCACAGGCCCCACGTGATACGCACGTGAGCCCTGTGAGGGGCAATTGTTTAGGGTAAAAATACCCTAGACACGTGGACCAATGAGAGGAGGCCACGTGTCGAGTTCAGGATGGCCCATGAGGCTTAATATCCCCTTGACACATGGCCCCCTTGGACAAATCTCTGAAATGGCGGCCTTCAAGGGCCCAAATCCCAAGAAGCGCCGTAAAACGGCGCAGCCCACTAAAATCTAGGTCAAGTGACCTAGATGGGGGAACATTCTCCAACGACCCTATAAATAAGAAGATATTTCCCCATTTTGGGGACACATTCAATCATTTATTACACACACATTCTCTCTCATCAGAGAAAGACCTGAGCTTGGAATCCAAGCAGATCCCCACCTAAAATTTCGCAATCTTTATTCCCTTTCAAGTTACTAACTTGATCGTCGGAGGCGGAGCTCCAACCACCCGGAGTCTACATTGTTTTGCAGGTACAACTCAGCCGGACCAGACTTCGTGACGTAACTCTCCCGAGGGACAAAAACACCCAAAACAGGATCTGCAAAACAATTTTGGATTGTATGCTGTAAAAGCATTTGCTGCATCAGGGTCCAGCTTCCTAAGTGATTCAAGGTTTTCATTGTAATCTGCCATGTTGTATGACTTGGCTATTTTTCAGAACATCAGCTTCAGTTCATCCCCTTTATAGGAATTGTGCCAGTGAGCATATATATGCCTAGCACAATGCTTATGTTCTGCCTCAGGGAGAACATTTTTTACAGCATTTAATATTTCCTAGTACACATCTAACAATCACAATGAAATCAACATCACACATTATCACATCCATGTCAATAATAGAATTCATCAACAAAAAAAAAAACAAAAAACAAAAAACAAAAAAAAACTCACCATATGTTCATCAGATATGATGCAAACACCATCACCATCCCCTAGGCCAAAATTGTTCTTCAGCTGCTCAAAAAACCATTCCCATGATGAGTTGTTCTCCCCTTCTACAATTGCCCAAGCTATAGGGTACATTTTCTCATTCCCATCCCTACCAACAGCTGAGAGCAATTGCCCTCCTAAAAAGGTTTTCAAAAAACACCCATCCACACAAATCACCTTCCTGCAGCCATCTACCCAACCCTTTTTCAGACCTTCAAAACAAGTAAACAACCTCTGAAATATGGGTGGTGCAGGCTGCTTGTTGAGTTTTGCTACTGTCACCAACTCAACATAGCTACAGGGCTGCTACCCTTCAAAGCTGCTATGTAACCTCCAACCTTTGCATAATGATCATGCATTGACCCATGAAGCATTCTATGAGCTGCATACTTGACCTTGTATGCAAATCCTCTCTGAACAACTACCTTAAAGGCCCTTCTGATAGTTTCAACAAGGGATTTCACAACAAAGGTTGCCCTCCTACTATCCCAAGCACCATACAAATAGAAAGCACAACCCTCCACACTTCGCCACGACATTAGTGGCTCTTCGTGCTTCCCGCAGGCTTTTTTTATAGAGAGAGAGACCCAAAGACGACTCCACGGTCCTGCGCAGCTGACCTCCCTCTTCTTGATTTGGTTGTAAAGAACCTAACTGGCTTCCCATTGTAACTGCCATTGTAGCACGTGTGTGGCCCAGCCCATAAGGGCCATGCGGACTTGACGTCATCCCCACCTTCCTCCAGTATATCACTGGCAGTCCCTCGTGAGTGCGACACACACCTTTTTGTTTGTTTCGGAGCCGTTTTGGCGGAGCGTACTAAACCCACACTTCACACCTAATCTTTAATTTACTTTGATGTTGCTTATCTCATAAGTCAAATCCCTTCCTTGTAAAATAGCATACTTAGATACAACATCTCTAAAAGCCTCCCTGGATGAAAACCTCTGCCCCACCTTCCAAGTGAAAACACTGAAATCAGTGTCTGCACTCACTGAATTCCCAACCCTCTTCCTCCTTTGCTCTCTAGTTTCTTCCTCATCTCCATTGTTTGGTGGGGTTATTAAATCATATTCACTCTTATCATACTCACTACCATAACCCTCTACAACTACTTCAAGTTCTTTCCAACCCTCCCTATCAGCCTCACAACCTAGTTTACCCTCAACAGCCTCTTTCTGTAGCTGATTTGCAATTTGCTGTAACTTGGCAGTACAAGTTCTCACTCTCTCCCTTGCTGTCAAAGCCTCCTCATCCACCTCAGAGTCATAACCATCAATACCATCAGTTAACAGCTCACCATTTTGCTCTTCATCATCATCCAAATCAAAGCTACCATCAGATTCATTCCCTTCACCTTTTGACAAACTCACAATATTTTTCCCTTTATCAACAGCTGGATCATAAATGGGATCTTTCTCATCTCCACTCAAATCATCATTGAATCCTAGAATCTCCCCCCCCCCAATCCAAAGGACTTTCTGGTCTATTATCAACCCAAGCATCATCATCATTTAGGAGTGATTTGTTTGAGGACAGATCTGGAAAGGGGGAGTTATCAATAAGAAGAGGGGCAGGCTGGTAGAAGGAAGCTAAAGGAAGAGTGTTTTGTTTTGCTTTGCCTTTGTTTTTTGGGAAAGCAAAAATAGGTTGGGTGGTTGTATCTGTATTTGTGGAAGGACACAAAACAATTGATGTGAGACCATCTTTCTGTGAGGGAGCATCTTTTATCATTAAAGGTAATTGTGGGGCCCTCTTTATTGGTAGTTTATTCTTTGCAATGTCATGGGTCAAAGGTTCTGCTTGTTTTTTTTTTGTACTTGTGTTGGAATAGGATTTAACTTAGGTAATTCAACCCCTTTATGTACATATATCTCCACACACCTAAACTTCAACAACATCTCCCTCATCCCATTCACTTCATTGTCAGAATAAACCTTCCTCAACCCACTCTCTAATGGCTCCCCTGGTTCCAAATACAGCAAAGACTCTACATTTTCAACCCCACACTGTTTTGCAAAAATCCTCTAACCACCACCAACATAACTGGTCAGGATCAATACTAAAAGTCCTACCAATTCCATCCTCATACACTAATGTACCATTACGAGAAGTTTTAAAACGCCCCCCATACCAGTACTTAAGAGTTACAACACCAAAAGGATCATCCATCTAGCATTAAGCATAAAATTACCATCTTTCAAACACAAATATAACAACAATAGCAATAACAATCCAATGCACAGCTAAACACTACAAAACGCAACCAAATGAGTGCAATTTACATCCAAAAAATTCATCAAAATTGACAATTTAGCCCACAATCATGCACAAATCAACAAATTAAACACATTTAGGGTCTTGTCGAATACATACCATTGATGAATCGATGAAGTGAGGACACCAAGACCTTCCCTAGCTGCTTTAACTTCAATTCAATGCTTCCACGAACCCAGTACAATTGCAGAGCCAATTTAGGAAAAAAAAAATTTGGGGACCAGCAGTTCGCAGAAAAAAGAAAGGGGAGTACGGATTGAAAGCGAAAGAGAGAGTGAAATTTGGGTAAAAGAAGAAGAGGAGAGGGGTGCTTTTTTCAGCATTAATGGCTGATTCGACACAGTTGGTTGAAGAGAGTAATGGCGCTTCAATTCGTTTGGGAGGGAAACTAACTCCCCAAAGGTCAACACGAGCTCTGTGGACTTCGCTAACCGGTTCCCAATCTTCAGTTTAATTTGGGTAGATTTAAAGGTTGGTCCAATATTGGAGAACCGGCCAAAGGTTTGTTCACTCATGTTAAATCTTCCTTTTTTTTTATCACTATTACTTTCATAGTTTCAGCCCTGATAGTCTCCACGAAGTCACTCCACGCTTGAACCCCGTTTCCCTTTTTCATTCTCCCTTCCATTGAATCCTTACCTGAGTTCTCCATTGAATCGCCTTCTAACTTTCTCTACTCCATTGAAGCAGCTTCTCAAGTAAGAATTTTCCTTTTAATCACAAAATATCAATTTCACAATCTAGGGTATAGTTTCGCACTATCGGCTGCCCGCTTGCCCTTCCTGCCCTGTTCAGCGTCGAAGATGAAGGTGTTCGATGTTGAGGCTCACACACTTTCGCTCTTCCTCTTCGCTGACGTCACCAATTCAAAGTAATTCTACTCCCTCAATTTATATTTGCTTAATTTGTTTGTGTAATAAAACCTAAACCACTAATTCGAAATGTAATACTGTACAATATCACTTGAATTGATTGTTTAATTAAAATTAGAGCTTGAAATTTTACTAGAGTAGTAATGATTTAAATTACGGATGTTGATGCTTGATTTTTTTTTTTTTCTTTCTGTGATGAAAACGATGAAAGAGGAAGTTCTTGTTTAATTTATTACATATTATTTTATTTATTTGTAATTTATGACATATTAGTAATCTCAAAAAAAAAAGAAAAAAAACCTACCCAAAAGTTGCAACTAGTATGTAACATGGTATTTGCCCAAATAATAGTATGTTACTCAGACTTGGTATTTGCCCAAAAATGTCATGTGGTTGTGTGAAAGTGATAATACCCTTGTCAAAATGTGTCGAGGACCCTGAGGTGAAGTGAAGAGTTCAAGTATACAAATTATAATCAAGGTAAAAACAAAGGGGGTTGATGGTGTGGGAGAGTTGGATATGATTGTGTTGGAAGTATGTCATGTAAATAATGAGCATAACTCTAAATAATAGTTGATAATGTGTTTAGCTAGAACCCGAGATTATTTAGCTAGTATAATGTGATTAGGCTCACGACTTAAATTAAACTAACTGTAGAGTCACACACAAATTAATTTGTAAGCTTTTGACTTAAATTAGACTACTAATCAATAGCGATTCCTAGCTAAATACATTTTACTCAATTAAAGTAATTAACAGAATTCCGTATTCTATCCAATAACTTTCAAAAGTTATTCATATTGTTTGAAGGACGTACTTCAAACAATTTCCCACTTGTCCTTTAGACGAGTGTACATATCCTTTCCTTTATCACTTATTGTCTAAGGTAATATTATCCGTCAGCCTTATCTAGCTTAAAATTATTTCTCGTGCTCATGAGTATTGCCGAGACAAACATAATCCATGTGAGTATGGTCATGCATTTCACACTTTACAGTTTTACACTCTTTGAGAGGCCCACAAGACAATGATCCTAATATAAGGTGGACAATCTGAAATCTTGTACATCCAATTGTATCTTATTTGATTTTTCTACTTGAATGGATGGGTTTCATTATGGTGGTTGATCCTCTTAGGACTATGTGCTTCACTGCTTTGGAGAATTTTAGCTTATTGAGTAAAGATTGCAAGATGAGATGTTTTACTACCTTTGCCTTTTCTGTTTTATGGGTCTTGATTTCAATTGGGCAAAACTATAGATGTTTTGGGGGGTTAAAATATAAATGGTTTACTAAACAATGGAGTTTAGTTCCTTTGCCTATATGGTGCTACAATTAAATGGAGTGAGCCTATAGATTATTTGAGGGTGTACCTGTTCAAAAGAAGATTTCTAGTTGTGATTTGATAATTTTATGTTGCCAAAGTCAAGCACTCTACTAGATTGTTGCCTGTTATTTCTTGATTTGGAAATGTGATCATGGGTAATTTTTTAGCTTGATGGCTGTTTCACTCTCTTGTTGTCCTCTACGCATTGTGCTTTTGAAATGGTGAGCAGTTTTATTCTCTACATTTCATGCTTGATATGTGGATTACACCTTTGCAGTTATACCACCAATAATATCCTGAGGCCCTATCAAGGCACGTATTAGAATCAATTCCTGTTGAGACCACATCCTCTACCATTTCAAGATATTTCCCTAGGTCTTGAATTGATTTGCAGTGATCATTATTATTTAGGTTGATCAAGAGTATTGCTAGAGAAAGAATGAGATAAATATCAGTGTCTGTTGTGCACGTGCACCACTTTGTCAATGTTCTTTGCTTTTGTTGTTGCCTCTTAATTTGCTTTTATTATCCTAAAGAATGCTAAAAAAAAAAAAACCTCAATCTGCATTGTATAATCTCCTATCTGTGGGACAAGATTAGCTGTGTTTCATTATTCTCTTGAATGGTTGACTTCAATTTTCTAACCTAAGTAGGTGAATATAAGGTTCTTAGATTACACTATAGTGAAGGGATTTCTATTACTTAATCCTTTTGTTCTCACTTCTTGATTATTAAATTGATCAGCTAACAAATGGATCAATATCCCCCTTTCACGGCCAACTTTAATTGGTTGTTCCCTGTTTTGTTGTTTGGCTTATGGTGGTTTTGGGGTGGTGGTTTAGGGTTAGGGAAGGCCGAAAATGGAAGGGGAGGGGGGTCGATTGCGGTGGGGGGAATGGGGCTGGGGGTGGATTCCGGTGGGGGGAAGGGGAAAGGAGTGGTTTTGGTTTGGGGTGGGGGTCGGGCAGCGAGAGCGGTGAAGAGGGGTGGGTTCGCGCCGGCCGAAGCTCTGGGCGCTGGCCGCCGGTAGGGGGGAGGGAAGGGGGTGGCAGTTGAGGGGAGGGGTGACTGGGTTACTTTTTTTAAAAAAAATTTATTTTATTTTATTTTTTAATAAACTTAACGGATTCCGTTAAGTGGTAATGAAATTTTAATAATTTGATTTTAGGTGGTAGCAAAATAAAATAAAAAATTAAACGGGTAGCAAATGTAACATGAGGTACTTTCGCCGGTAGTAAATGTCAATTTTTCCTTTATAAATAGTCTTTACATTCAATAAAATTTTGTAGAGAACTTTTGGACTTAATGCAAGCGGGAAACTTGGTGCCAGAAGTTGCTTTTCTTAATGCATCTCTTGTGAGTTCTCTAAAACTTTGCTTCTATTTTCTGTTTTGAGCAAGGTTAGCCTTATCTTTTATTCTACTGTTTTTTTTTTTTTTTTTTTTTTTTTTTTTTTTTTTTTTTGATACAGATTCCTGATGCCTTCCCTGTTCTAGCAGCTGCCTATAAGGCTCTACTGTCTAAAGGACGGGAGACTCTCACGACAAGAACACTTCATTCTGAGCTAGTTTACAATTATTCAGGATCTAAACATGTAATTATCTTTTGTTGCTAATTAACACCTATGCCCCCCTTCCCTTCCCCCTTTTCCCCTTTGCTGCCTTCAATACAATGTTTTGGCTGGCTTTTGTTTATATTATGTTCATGTTTACAGATTACGGAATCTTTAAAAAGGTGTGGCATTTCTGATAGTTGTACCTATATCCTTGCTGCATGTTTTGATGCTTCAGCAAATGAGGTGAGCCATTACCTATCATTTTCCTGTTCGCTGCTGGCTCTGAAACATCCGGCATATATAACCATGGATTTTGGAATGTATTTAGGTAAAAGCCATTCAAGACATTGTCAAGGGAAAGGAGATCGATTTGGAGGAGTTAGCAGGAAGAGCAAATCAAAGCCAGATTCTAAAGGTAGCATACTTGACACTTGATTTAATCACTTGATACTATACTTTATAAGCATGCCCTTGGTTAACACGTTTGATTAATATCCAGCATTACAAAATTTCCAGCTTGGAATTGGGATTAGGCTCTCTCGGGGATGCCATTACGTGTCGAATTGCTGCTCGTGATGCTTTATGATGAAAGGGACTTCTTAAACAGTTTTCATTTTGTGTTAAATTACGAATTACGCGAGTATGTTGTACATTACTTTAGTTTAAATTTTGACATTTTGTTGATGAAGATTTCGTATTTATGGTCAATGAATGTATTGTCCACCAATTTTGTGCGCTTAGTCTATATGAGCGAGCTTTTTGTCTGTTTTTGGGAGTCGGTTCTGATTAGACATTTTTTTATTTTTTGGAATATTAGTTCCAGACTGGGACAAAAGGAAAACTGGTTTTAAAAATACTAAATTTTACCATTGGATGCTAAATAATATTCAAAATTTTTTTAAAAAATCTCTAGATATATCAGCTTTCGAATTACTTTGTGCCAAATGATATGCTGCTTTGCTTACCTTGATAGGCCTCGCTCACTTCACCTCATTTTTTATGAATTGAAATTATTTTTACTGAATTGAAATTAATTTTGTTGAATTTAAATTAATTTTATAATACTAAAATTAATTTTACTGAACTGAAATTATTTTTACTAATTTTTTATTATATTTCTTTTCAAAGTTATTGAACTGAACTTATATTTGCTGAACTTAAGAGCACTATGCCTATGTCCATTTATACTTTCATATTGTGTATACTCCGTCTCGGTCAAGTAAATTAAGCTCAGTTTAGTCGTAAACTTGTAATATTTTTATTATATGAGAGTGAGGTATAGTTCAAGTGGTTAGAGCTCTCCTTCCGATTTCAGGAGATATTGGGTTCGATTCTCATCACACCTTTGTGAGACTATAAACATCGAGAGAAAATAAATAAATAAATAATTTTTAAAAAAAACTTTATTATATAAGTCAAGACAAATGGGTGTGGTACCCCTTGTAATTACTAAAATATCCTCTTCCTTTGGATACAGAAGAGTGGTAATTACAAAAATATGTAATATGGCAAATGGCAATAGATTAATGACTAGCAGTTTAATAGTTTAGAACTTAAACCATATAATTAATATTTTATTTTATTTTTTTTTTGTAAAAGACTTGATATCCAAACATAAAGACTTGTCAATATGCTACTGCAGCATATAATTAATATTTTATGTTATGTGCATAAAATAATAGAATTATTTTTTTTAAGAAAAAAATAAAAGAAATATTGAATGAGGAGGGAATAATAATTTTATAATTTTACATCAAGGATTGTGTCAATTTGATAGCAATAATCATTTTTTTTGCTATAACCTTTAGGAGAAAAGAAAAAAAAAACTTTATTTACAAGTTTGCCATGAGATATGTTTCTTAAGAAAATGTCAATATTATTAAGGACGGAGTAGGAATTTCCCTTCAATAATTGATGGCTAATAAATAAACAATGATAATGTAAACCATTAATTATTTCTTTTTGAAAGAATTTAAACCATTAATTCATCATCATATACATAGATATATTAATGGCTACTAAATGAACCGTGATAAAAATACCTTGCCTACACGTAGTCACCCTCATTGATATAACATAGCGAGGAATTACCAAAATATCCTGGGTTCACCTTGTTCCCGAGTGCATATAATAATAGCTGGCCGACTCTGTCTCTACCTACAAAATCACGAGTCGCGCTCTCACACTAACAAGTGTTCTACCAAAAACTAATAAAAAAAAAATAATGGAAAAACAAGAGAACTCCTTTACAAATTCCCCTCTTCTTAGAACAAAACTCAATGAAGAAACAGAAGAAGATATTCAGATTGAGAGAAACATATATGAATCGAATATGATCAACTTATCAACTATGATGGTTTAAACAAAGAGAAATATCATCATTTAGGAAAGAATGATTTTAATAATTTGGACTTTTTAGAAGAAGCAAAGAGACAAGTATGGTTGGCAGGTCCATTGATATTAGTTGGTCTTTTGACATTTTCATTGCATATAAATATATAATCTCTCTTATGATGTTCGGCCACCTCGGCGAGTTACCTCTTTCTGCAGCTTCTATGGCTACCTCTTTTGCTTATGTTACTGGCTTCAGCGTGCTGGTTAGTTGGTTTTCTCCATTATCCAAATTTAGTATTTTTTTTTTTTTAATATATACTTGTATGTCATATACTATTGATCAATATGATCAACTAAGCAAATCAAACATAGACTTTTCTACCTAGTTTGTGTGATATGAATGTTGTGCACATATTATAAATTAAGATTACTACATAATCAACATAATCAATAACAATCGAAGCCTTAATCCCAAATATGGGCTCGACTTCATGTACCAAGATTTTATCTCTTGTACTCTAAATATACGAAGTAATAAATTATTTATTGACAATCTCACATAAGACATGATCATTATAATATATATATATTCCATTTTGTAGCAGTAATCTATTAGTACCTTTTAGGAATGAGAGAATAAATTGGACAATCTCATATAACAATACAAGACATACTTGTGTTTTAAAATGTATTTTTCATCTGTGTGAGCAGCTTGGAATGGCGAGTGCACTAGAGACTGTATGTGGCCAATCATATGGTGCAGAGAAATACAATATGGTGGGCATACACACACAGAGAGCCATGGTTTTGCTGATGTTGATAAGCATCCCCATTAGTGTAATATGGTCATATACCGAAACTATTCTGGTGACTTTGGGACAGGACCATGACATTGCAGCTGGAGCTGCTCTGTACGCCCGATTTATGATTCCAAGTCTTTTTTCCTATAGTCTTCTTCAATGCCTTATCAGATTCTTTCAAACACAAAATATAGTCATTCCCATGATGCTGACCTCTGGAGTCACTACTTTGTGTCGTATATTAATCTGCTGGTTATTGGTGTTCAAATTTGCCCTAGGAATCAAAGGAGCTGCCCTTGCAAATACTATATCATACTGGATTAATTGTCTTCTGTTAGCACTTTATGTAAAATTTTCTTCGTCGTGTTCAAGAACTTGGACCAGCAGCTTCTCCAAAGCATCATTTCTAGGTATCCCAGCTCTTCTGAGGCTCGCTATACCATCAGCTGTCATGGTCTGGTAAGGTTCCATTACATTCCTGTGGGAAGGACTTACATTTGCAATGATTTTGGATGCTATAGAAAACATTTGATATGTGCTATGATTTGGTATTTTATAGAACTTCCTTTTCTGTGATTGGAACAGCTTGGAAATGTGGTCTTTTGAGATGATTGTTCTCTTGTCTGGTCTTCTGCCGAATCCAGCATTAGAAACTTCAGTGCTTTCTATCAGGTTGGTCTTTGAACATTGCATTTTGTTGTTCAACTTAAGGATCATCTCTATGAAAAAATAAACTCTTCTGTTCTATTTAGATTATGACTTCATAACAATGAAACTATTATCTAAAAACATTTATTAGTCATAAAGATGAAAATGTAGTGAACTGTTCTTTATTTACAACATGTTAATATGATAAAGCCGATATTAAGGGCCTCAAGGCACAGTTTGATACAGTGCTGAAAAAACCAAAAAAGGATTGTTTTTAATTATACCTGAGCTCTGGTACTGAGCAATCCAGATTACTGTCTATACATGCAGTAGACTTGGCAGTTGGCGTGTTAATACTTTGCGATCTTTTTCCTTTAGGTGGGAGGGGAATTTTTTGAAATTTTTGATTTATATGATTATGAAAGGAGTTGTATTTATCTTGAAACTCAACTTCTTGCAGCCTCAATACTACCTCACTTGTTTGGGTTGTTCCTGAAGGTTTCAGTGGTGCTGTAAGGTAAGCTTTGGTTTATTTCCCTTGCTTTCGGAAATATAGTAATTACTTATCTTCTTTCATGTTGCTTACTTGTTTGTCTTTCATAAACACTGCCAAAGCTCCTATGAACTGTCTTAGAGAATTGTTCTGATTAGAGAAGGGCATATACGATAAATATAGTAGTAGATTCTAAATTCTCTTTGGGGTTTTCTGTCCCCAGTACTAGGGTCTCCAATGAATTGGGAGCTGGGAATCCAGAAGCAGCAAGATTAGCAGTATATATTGTTCTATGTATGACAGTCTCCGAGAGCATTGTTGTGGGGTTGATCCTTCTATTGATACGAAATGTGTGGGGTTATGCTTACAGTAGCGAGGTGGAAGTGGTCAGATATCTTGCTTCCATGATGCCCCTGTTAGCAATAACAAATTTTGTTGATGGACTCACTTGCGTCTTATCTGGTAACACCCTTACATAATTGTTAATATCAACTTGAAACAGTTATGTTTTGGAACCTGCCAATTTGGTTACTAGTATATGTTTCTACTAAAACTGTGTGCTTAACTGAGGCATGCATGGTATATATATAGTTGTAGCAAATCAACAATGACAGTCTTTTCTAATTTTCTGAGGCATGCGTCTTATGTAGTGCACGGTATTTTCTAATTTCTGTAAACATTCAGGCACTGCTAGAGGATGTGGTTGGCAAAAGATTGGGGCATATATTAATCTAGGGTCATTTTATCTTGTGGGTCTTCCTGTTGCTATCCTGTTAGCATTTTTCATGCACATTGGAGGAAAGGTAATCATTCACCCCTTCACAGTATTAAAATGCCTCAACGATTGTTTATAAAATTTTTAACCATTCTTTCTGCCTTGAATAATCTCTTGTTAAAGGGTCTATGGTTATGGATTTTATGCGCAATCACCCTTCAAGCTATCTCCTTCCTTGCTATTACTATGAAAACAAACTGGGAGGAAGAGGTAAAACCTTAACCAAATTTTTACATTCTTTGCAATTATCTTCATCTCCCATCTCCCTTTTATATCAATTTGACCATGATCTTGTGATTCTTCTTTAGGCCAAGAAAGCTACAGAGAGAGTCTTCGAATCCAAAGTTCCCAAAGAGATGGTTTTCTGAAGCTACAATGTTGGCAATGACAGAAAACAGCAATCTGTGATAGGAAATCAGCTTTTCAAACTAATCTATAATGCCTGGATCTTTTTACCAGAAGCAAAACTCTGTACTCCTTGGTACAAAATGAACATATGAGATGAATTTAACCTTTCTTGTCGCTATAAGGATCTTCCAGATTCCGGATCCTTTCAACGTTCAGGGCTAATGCATTTCAAGCTGGTGAATATTTCCTCCGTGAAACTAACCTCATTCTTTTAGAACTCATTTAAGAATTTTTTTTTTTTTTTTTTTAATTTTTTGTATATTTAAGCTGGTATACTGGTAGTAACTTCAAAATAATAATGGTAATAATAACTTTTCATTGAAAAATATGAAAAATAAAGATATATACAAAGATACAATTCTAATGTTTTCTTTGTTCAAGTGTTCACACCAATGCTGACAGTCACAAGAATCAGAGACCATGATTCTATATTGTAATGAATAGATAATTGACAATTGAGTTGTATTGTATGAACTATGAAGTAAATGGTACAGGTTTAAATAGTCTTCTTCCAAAATGAACAAGTTAGTTGATTGACACAGGCAACTTGAGCAAGGGAATGGCTTTCTTTATGTTGTCCAGGGCCTTCTCGAGAGTGGAAAGTGATTCTGCATATGAAATGCGAATGCAGTTGTCGTCCCCAAAAGCATCTCCTGGAACAAGTGCCACCTGAGAATGCCAACGTTAATTTTAAATATCCCTTTCCATTTTATTGTCATCGAACATCATTTGTTACAAGCACTAAGGAAAGAGAGTGACATTGATCAATTGCACTCTACAACAAATAAATCAGTACAAGCATACCTGAGCTTTGTCAAGTAAAAAGCGACAGAGGGATTCTGATCCATTTATGGCACCAAACCCTTCAGCTTCTGAACCATAATAAGAGCTGAAATCGAGAAACAGATAGAAAGCTCCCTGCAAAAAGTCCAGTCAATATAATTAGCTCCCAATACAGAAAGAGATTTAGGAGGGGGGGTCAACAGAAAGTACCTGAGGATCGGATATCTTTACACCTTCCAACTCACTGAAACCTTTAATTAAAAAATCACGTCTCTCTCTAAATGCTTTTACCATTGTTGCCACTGTCTCCCCACCAGCCTTACCCATTCCAAGAGCAGCAACCCCCGCTTTTTGGGATATACTGCAGGCACCTGAAGTTGACTAGAACAGAAGAACAAATAAACCAACTGCATTTCAGGGTTTGAATTTACATCTATGCTTTGAATTTTAAATCACTTTGAGAATCAGTGTACACTTCAACTTCCATCAAGTTCTTTACACTATGTATTCCCCATATTTTATCGCATGAATGCTACACTTGTTAATTAAAAAAAATAAAAAAAGTAATAAATAAAAAAACCATGATATTGTCATAATCATAACATGTCATCAGCCAGATAATTCGAGCTACCATTACGTTTTAATATTTGACATTCAAAACAATTTGATAAGTTTAAAGATCATCACTTGTTTAAGCTTATCAAAAACTTGAAATTAAAAACATTCAAATTGGTAGCTTTAAGTTCAGTAGTTATACCTGGCTCTGAATCTTTCCACAAGCAGCAACAAAATGTTTTGGACCAGCAAGATATCCAAGTCTCCAACCAGTCATAGCAAAGGCCTAAGATTGTCAAATAAAGTCGAAGAGTGAGAATAGAGCAGAAGTCAAACAGCATACTAATTCAAATTAATTTAATAGATTGTCATCCACAGATTCCACACTATAGAAGCAAAATGATCTAAAGGAGAGTAATCTGCATCAGCAAACTCAATAGCTTATCTGCAAATTACCTTGGAAAAGCCATTGACAGTCAAAGTCCTCTCCCACATACCAGGTAGTGAAGCAAAGCTAGTATGCTTAGCCGGTGAATAGATGATATGCTCATAAATCTCATCAGACAAGACCTAGAAAGAAAATCGTACTTTGACAATTAGAACCGCAATGATATGTGTATATATGTAAGAAGACAGTCTGGTACTACCAGAAGTCGTGGGTGTCGTGCTACAATTGCAGCAATCTCTTCAAGGAGTTCCTTGGGATAAACAGAACCCGTTGGGTTGGATGGTGAGCATAGAATCAACAACCTTGACTTCTCATTAAGTTTTGACTCCAGATGCTTCGGGTCCATCAAAAAATTACGAGATATTCCAGTGTCAACAATCACAGGAGTTGCATCAGCCAACCTTGCCATTTCAGGGTAACTCACCCAATAAGGTGCAGGAATTACGACCTGAATTTGATTCATAGGCAAATCCATTGATACCAAGTGTGCAATAAAGTTAGCTATATAGAACAAGAAACATCACTAGTAAATAAATTTTCAAACCAATCAAGATCTCCCAAGTATATGTTAAAACACAAAGTCTTCCCAAGTGCAGGACTGCAGAATGCAGATCCTTGTCGCTCAGAGGTCAGAGAGATAGTTAACAGGTTGATGGGCAAGGTAGGAAAATAATAACTGCCAAATAATACAGGAAAGAAAAGAATCCTTGCAGTTGCCTTAATTAGTTTAGTCATAATCCCGTTACAGAACATTGAATTTGGGGAGTGAGAGTTAGACGGGGCTTACATCACATGGATTGACTATAAAATTCCATTTCAAGAAATGGATAGAATTTAGTAGATATTAGAAAAAGGAATACAAGAATTTTATGGATGGTAGGAATGCTTCAGCTATGTTTCCTTAACCCTATTTCTAAATAACACATTAACTTACTCATCTGAAATTCAAAATAGATCGTACCACACCAGTCTAGATTTTTTATTTTTATTTTTTATTTTTTTTTTATGTATTGCTCATTACTAAAATTCTTATATCGCGTATTAATAAAACATTATGAAATAAAGATATACTTTATCCGTTTCTTTAAAATTGCAACACACTTTATCATGGTATTTACCAAAAAAAAAAAAAAAAAAAAGAACCTCACATGATATAATACACTTAAAATGGGGTTAAGATGTTGTTAGGAGTATAATCAAGTGGGCCATGAGCTTTACAAAAAGGTAATAGTACAATTTTCACCATAAAACCCTTCCTTTTATAGTGTGTTGCAACTATAAATAAATTGAGGAAGTACGTAAATTACTAATAAAAGAATAGTCCAACAAGAATTTACAAGAAGATGTTTTTTGTTACTCCCTCCATTACAGATTAATTGCACTGCTATGACCAAAGCAAGATTTTACAAAAAAAAAAAAAAAAAAAAAAAAAAAAAAAAAAAAAAAAAAAAAAAAAAATTGAATTCTTAGACTATGGGAGAATATATTAGCATAATCAAAACGTCAAATCAGGATAGATATAATAGATACTCCCTCTGTTCTTTTATGTCTTTAAGAAAATGTTGAAGAATGTGAGTGAGTGTAAAAAAAGTAGGATAAAGTAGAAGAGATAATGTAAATGGGTGGGGTTTATATAAGAAAAAGGTGAATAAAGTAGGAGAAAGAATATGGAAAGGTGTAATTATTGTGAGGTTAAAGAGGGAATATGGTAAAATGGGTAAGCCAAAAATAGAATTAAGCAAATTGTAACATAAAAGAATGGACTTAAAAGTGGGTATAATTTAGAATTACCGAACATACTATACAAGATCTTAGAAATTTCATATCAGTACTTATTTTGACACAACCTTAAAACAAGTGGCTCATAGGTAACTAAGGTGTCAAAGTTGTTTAGCACGTGACAATACATAGCCTTTAATAAGCATAAGAAAAGTTAACTCACGTCCACACATTCATTGGACAAAATTACAATAGTTTGAGGAAACATTTTATTTTAAATTGAACTTTGATATGATGACATAGAAATATATAGCAAGTGTAATAGTTAGTTGGAAATTTTGTGTAGAACTATCCTGAAGATAGGGTCATTTGTGAATAACTATCCATTTCTTTTTTTTTTAGAAGTACCCGCAAGTTTGGATGTGAAGCAGGAAATCATTGATACTTCAGGTTTTCAGGAAGGTTCCTTGCCTTTCAGGGGGTTAAGATAAATGCTAAAAAGCTTTCTCAGGATGACTGTCAAGTGCTTATTAGTAAGATTGTTGCAAATATAAGAATTTGGGTAGGGAGTACTCTGTCTTATGCTGCAAGAATAGTGCTGGTCAACTCTGTTTTGATGTCTATGCATACCTATTGGGCTAATATCTTTCTGTTACCCAAAAAAGTTATTGATGGGGTCATAGCTCTGCAGGAATTTCTTGTGGGATGGGAAAGTTGTGTATAGCAGAGCCCCCCCCCCCCCCCCCAATTGGTTAGGATATTATGTGTAGGCCCAAGAATCAGGGTGGCTTAGGTGTTCATGATTGTGATATTTGGAACATAGCTGCTATTGGTAAATATATATGGGATATAGCAAATAAGAATGACAACTTATGGCTAAGATGGGTGAACCATCATTATGTCGGAGACAAGAACTGGAAGAGGCTTAGCTGCCGTACTCAGGCTAGTTGGCAATGGAAGCAAGTTTTGAAAGTCAAGGAAAAGATAAAGGATGGCTTTTCATGAAATATATGGAAACATAATGCTGCAGGTTATACTATTTCCAATGCTTATAGATGGCTGCAGATCTCTTATCCTGAAGTGAACTGGTGTAATATGGTTTGGAATAGGTTTAACCTTCCCAAACATCGTTTCATTCTTTGGATGGCCATGTGGGGAAGACTCAGAATAAGGAAGAAGTGCAATGAGCCCGCAACCTCCCCCTGTTACATTGGTGTATGGCAGACGTCAGAGAGGACAGAATCAGCAGAGCAGCCCTGCCCCAACACAAGCACAGGCCCAAGCAACAACGGCTAACACAAGGAAAAAGGACAGAGCCCTGGAATATTAGCTGTTACCTTTTAATTTCACTAGAGGACAAGAAGTAGTATTTGTAGCCTTGAAGGCATTTAGCCACGTAAGCACTAGTAGTAGAGTAGTATAAATAGAACAATCCTAAGAGAAGTAGGGTATCCAGAAATTTGTAATAGAATGTGGAGAGTGATGCCCTCAAGCCATTAAAACGCATTTTCGCAAGCTTCAAGCTTTTATTCAATCGAAACTTCAACCTTTCGACCTAAATTGTTGTCCGAGTCACGCTGTTCGTTGCAGTTGGTATCAGAGCGAGAATGGCCCCGACGGCGCCAACAGAACGTGTAGCTGCCTTGGAGGAACGAGTGGAATCGATTCTTGAAAAAATCGGAGAAGGAGAAAACTCCCTTCAACAGGTCCTGCTTGAGAGCAGGAGGAAGAGGCGTGAAGAAACAGAGAAGCCATAGACGAGGTGCGACAATTACTCAAAGGTCGTGTCGATCGGTTTCGCAATGACCTGAATCAGCAGAACGCGTTAATGAAGGCGAGCCAAAAGAAGTTCTTTGAGGAAGT